TGGGAAAAGCTATATGCAATGAAATAAATAAGGTAATTCACTATCTAGCTCCACCTTACAGATGCAGTCATAAGTGAATAGATTTGGTTTATCTACTGATACGGCAGCTCTTGTGAGTTGTCCTAATTATCCTGTTAACATACAATTGTGAGTGACAGCTGCCTTGATCTTATCCCTTGAATTTATCAAGAAGAGTTGAGCCCACCCTATTATAAGAATGAAGAAACAAAAAACTGAGAAGATGAGGCTCCAAGGAGAATTCTGGTGTTTGTCAGTTTAAGGGGCTCCAGAACAACTACATGAAAATACTGGGAAAAAAGGAAAGAGGCTTTGTTTTTTGAGAAATGCTACTGTGGGCTATAATTTGAATCACCTTACGTGTTTCCTGAAAGACTTAAGAAAATATTGAAATGCCTATATTAGTGACATTTGGTTGCTAATCTGTACTTTGTAGTTCCATGAAGAGACTCGATCACATGGGGCTCCAGATTTTAATTGGATCCCATGTGCCCTTGCTTCTGTTTCTGCTCCTGCTTCCTCTGTGCTTGTTTTCTTTTACTCACCTCTTTGCATGTTTGCTTTCTCTGGTGAGGTGAGGATCTAGAAACTTTTCATCAGTTAACAAAGAGGAAATCAACAAAATATGACAAAATATACTCCGGTTTCTCTCCAGATCATATAAATCTTTTGCCTTTTAAAATATGACAAAATAATTCCTTCAGAGTAGAAGAGGGGAAAAAAAAGAAAAAGAAAAAATAAAATATGACAAAATAAGTCCTCTTGGGCACAATAAGAATATTGTGGGGCTGGGTATGGTGGTTCACACCTATAATCCTAGCACTTAGGGAGGCCAAGGCAGGAGGATCACTTGAAGGTAGGAGTTTGAGACCAGCCTCTACAAAAAATTGAAAAATTAGCCAGACGTGGTGGCACGTGCCTGTAGTCCCAGCTACTCAGGAGGCTGAGGCAGGAGGATCGCTTAAGCCCAGTTGGAGCTGGAGGTTGCAGTGAGCTGTGATGACACCATTGTACTCTAGCTCAGGGAACAGAGTGAGATCCTTCTCAAAGAAAAAACAAACAAACAAA